GACACTGGGAGACTGGTCAGTATAATTAGAGGCAGGGCTGTCGCAGCGCCCCCTGCTGTTCCAGCCCAGCTGTGAGAGAGCGGGCCATGTGGCGGGAGGCCTCCCTCATGCCGCGCGCAGCGCTGATGGCCCGGCTCAGCGAGAGGCTGAGGGACTGCTCCCTGCTGCCGCCGTCCAGCGTGAGGGAGCGGGCGTGTCGACTCCTGCTCCGCGGACCCCTGCCTCCTGTAGCCCCTCCCCCCGCCCCGCCCACGGAGAGGTAGAGGCGGGGTTCCAGGTGGGAGGGCGGAGCCCTGGCGAGGGGGGCGGGGTAATACCTGCAAATCCAAGGAAGGGCGGGGTCAGACCCTCAAACCACCCACCAATCAAATTCAAGTTAAAACAGTCATTCCCTCAGGATGCAACTGAAGCTGAAACGACAACAGCTAGCCAATGCCTGAGCTAAAAAGGCAGAGTTCCTGCCTCACTGATTAATTCAGAGTTCATTTCAGGGAAGACCGCTGGGAAAAGAGCAGAATTAAAACTGACAGATTTAACGTTACTCGTGAAATAGAAAAAAAAACCCTATAGCGTCCCAGGCCGCAGCGTGATTTAGGGTGAAAGCACCCTATTCCATCCATGGGCAGTACTTACACGACTGGTGTGCAGATGGGCACGCACTGAACCACTGGCACATGGCTAAGAAGAGGAGGGGAGGGGGCTGCCACAAACACACCCCTCTTCTCCTTCTGGGGAGATCCCATTGGTCGGCTCCTTCGAGGGGTGGGGCCAGAGTTACTTTCAGCCGAAGCACCTAACCAATCAGAAACGGGAGAAGAGAAGGGGGGGGAGTTATGTCAACACAAGGTGTTTCTCCGGAACCAGATCACTAAAATCCAAAGAATAATGAGCTTGATTCCATTTTGATTGACAATGACAGTATGGATAGATACTGCACACCCACAGGATGAAACTTCAGCCCGTTTTAGAACTAGCTAAGAGCCCTAAGACCCTATAGAGCAACTCTTAAAGAAGGGATGCTCCGAGCCACTTCTCACCTGGCTCAGCCCACCTCTCTCTGTCCTGGGGGGTGTGTACCCCTGTACCCCGACACAGGGGGCAGTGGCGAGGGGAGGGTGTTGAAGCATGAGCCCCAGTGCTTCCTGCAAGAACAGATGTGAGAGAGTGTGAGAGGCACAGTGAGAGGGGAGGTCAAGGCGCTGAAACTCTGGAAGGGAATATTCAGTTTAACAGTAAGTCCCGATATCTGTGTTGAAACATCAATGAGCTGAAAATATAACCGTAATAAAAACAAAGCCCTCTGTGAGATATGCTCATCTCAGCAGCTGCTTTTAAAGTGAATATTAATTGCACAGCCTTCTGAATGTTCTGCGTACCGTGGTGATGTGCAGTCTTCTGCTGGTGTTGAGTCATGACACTGCAGCGTGGACAGGACGAGCTCGATCTCTCCCTGGGGTCAG